AGGAGACTATGAGGCTATTTCCATAAAATTTTAGAGCAGAAACATCTTCACACCTTCTGAAAAGGCGGCAACATCTCTCAAGTGAGAAAGCATTCAAGTGCTAAGAAACCGGGAGTCTTTGGATCCAACATATGGCCTCCATCCTGTGTTTGAATGTGAGCAGGAGGATTTGAGTCCACGTGGATTTTCAGTAACATCAACAAACTCCATACAGGCCTGAAGGTTTGCCCACACATATGAAGCTGTAGGGATGGGACCAAGAAAAAAAGAATACTATAAGGGATTGGATGCCAGAAGCTCTTAGTCACCAAGTATACCAGGCTACATGTTATACCTTCCTATGTTCGTAGTGATTACTTTTCTCTCACATACATCTGTGCTATGAATAATTCTTTCCTCTAGGATATTACATTCCTTACTTAACAAAACTGCCAGAAAAAGCTGTTTCTGTGACATTATTTGAGAATAATTAACTTGATCTTAACATTTTTGTCCAAAAATACAATGAACCATTCAGTGATAGTTACTAAAGGACATTAGAGCGTTGATATTCTTTTCTAGAACACTACTTACGCTAGCTTGAATTACCTCAGATTGTACTAATGGTTAAGAGAAGAAGAGTTATCAGACCTTACAGATCATAATTCAACAGCTAATTCAAGCCTCAGCATAATTTAGAGTTCCTATAGGACATCTCTGTGTTATGCCAGGTAATAAGAGCTCAGAGACTGCAGAAGCAGCAAGACGGAAAATGAAGCATAACTGTGCTCCACATACAACCCTAGTCCTCAGTTCCAGGAGATGCTACATCGCATGTTCAATACACAGGAATTCCTTGATACGCATGAGTTTCTTGATATCATGTCAGTATCTCTTGATGCTGTTGTTCACAATACATGATTTATGACCTCTGTGTGCAGCCAAATAGACCAAAGAAGTTACACCATAAACAGGATATGGCCCTACATGACTTGAGGACAATGGCAAAGGATAAGAATACTTTCAAATGCTAAGAGTTCTGTAGGGCTTCTATGAATTTCATCCATACTAGTTCCTATAAGCCAAGATAGTAGGAGGCAATATATCAGTTCATAGGAAGCCATGAGGATGTTGAATATGCAGGTTCTATAAATCACTTTGTTGATGGATTAACAGAAAATGTACATAGAAATCTTCTTAATCAATGCATACAGCAGTAGCATTTCCTTATTTAAATGAAACATCTGGAAAGGGTTTGAAAATAACATCTTGATTTTTTTCTTGAAATTGATTGCTAGTATCTAAAATCACAAAAAAAACCCCACACAGCTTATACAAATGTCTATGCAAGCAAATGTGGCAGCCATTATGGGATCAAGAACATCCCATCTGCAGCTGAGAACATTAATGCTAATTAATCTTTGGTGGGTATTCTTACCCTGAAAGGAAATTTTGGACATCGTATCAACAAGTATAATCCTCTTTCTGTACAACAAAGTAAGCCCGTTGTCATGATTATATGCATTGTCAAAAGAACAGTAACCAGAGGGTTCTTATTTTAGCATCCTATCTATGGGATATCTTTACTTCCAGTACCCTGTGTTCTTTCTGTACTGTAGTATGTATCATTAAAAGAAACAAAATCTTTAAAATCATAATATAAATCACGACTGTTTTTTCTCAGAGACTGTAACTCAATATGCGCCATGATTTTGTAGGAAAAAGAGTGCTTTCATTTCTTTCTAAAGTGCAGAAATTGTTTTCTTAGTCCTTCAGTCTGTTCTTATTTCTCATCTGCATTTGTACAAGAAAACTAGATTCTCCTTTCAAACAAACAATTTCAAGTAGCACAAGCCTTCATTCAGTATGCCAAGAGGACAAAAATATTCAGTTTACAAAGTTCACACAGAAAGAAATAGAAATTATTTCCCAAATACGTGGGCCAATAATTGAAAAAAGAAATTAATCCTGTATCTCAGTACCATTTCTTCCAAACCAAGCAATCTAACTTACACACAGGTAACTGGCCAATGAAAAATATTTTAGGTATAAAATAATTTATTAAATATATATGCCTCTTTTTACAGATGAAATTACTTTCCATATACTAAGCACTCTTAAGATGCTATCAAAATTAACATTATATGTCACAAAAATTCATGCACGTAAGTTATACCAAAAAGCCAATTATCTGTTAGAACTTCATTATTCAATTTAATTAAGAAACGCAGCATAAGTGAATGAAGGTCTACATTCAGCACAATCTATATTTCAATATGTAATGTAAATGCATAGCAAAGGACAGTGTAACATAACATTGAACCTGTCTTTAATAAATAAGTTTGCTAATAGTGATAATCTAGTCATAAGCATCTCGTTAATAGTCTATTCGATTCAGTGACTGACATCATGCTTTGAACAGCAGCCCTTAGAAGGCCCTAATCCAATTCTCACTGAAATTAGTGGGAAGACCAGCACAGATTTAAATACACGCTGAATCAAGTCTTTGCTAATGTTCAGGAAAGATCCATGCAAAGGAAAGCACAGTCTTGCATCTTCATTGCTGAAACAAATGACTTGCCAAAAAAGAAAAAAAAGAACATTACATCATTCCTTAATTCATTTTTCTGTAGTCTGCAGTAATGTACCTCCGTTAGTAAGTAACACGTTGAATGAATGACCAGTGCTAAAGTGCAAAAAATATGCAGTTTCTGGAATCCAGTGTTAAGTTGAGGCAAACCTTAACAGGCTTTCTGCCACACTTTCTCATACTTCAACTGTTAGCCAGACATCATAGCTAGATAATATGCTACAAAACATAGTGTAAAAAGGATGACAGAGAAAAGATACAAAGCATTAGTGCCAGTCAGATATCTACAAATCTAAATCCCTTTTATCAAGATGACTAACGATTCCTGAAAAAATAAACATCCCTAGGAAGAAAGAAAAAGGAAACCAAAGGCTACATGAATGCACACATCCTCTATGTGGTTAAGACAAATTATTTGAAACCACAGCTTTAACCATGCAGCAAAAGCATCCCACTATTCACTTATTCACTTTAGAAAAGGAAAGGAAAGGAAAAAGGAAAGGAAAGGAAAAAGGAAAGGAAAGGAAAAAGGAAAGGAAAAAGGAAAGGAAAAAGGAAAGGAAAAAGTAAAGGAAAAAGGAAAGGAAAAAGGAAAGGAAAAAGGAAAGGAAAAAGAAGAGGAGATTGATATCAGGCTGTTCTTAGTGCTAGAGGGAGACGGAGAGCCAGGAGAGCCCCTGCAGGATTGATCCCTCTATCAGTTTCAGATGCTTAGGTTCCAATTTCTGAAGAGGAGGAAGGAGGGGGGAAGATTAGGAAACACTGGCAGCTAAATACATGGCATAAGGACCTGCACAGAATGAGACAGCTTCTTTCTGTCTCAAGATATTACTGTCAGAATAGCCAAGAAAATGATGGGCTTCATTTTTCCATTCTCACTGTGGTACTTAGAGATGTACCTAATTTGAAGAGAGCTGGACAGGTGGCTTATCATGCTGAGCTAAACAGATAAGTGTGAGATTTAAATGACAAGAGGCAGCAGGTTTTGCTGTTCTAAAGAGAATGAATTATTCTGGTGGGCACAAGTGGAAGGTCAGCTTGGGGTGCCGCCAGCATCACCTGGGTGCCTGCTGGCAGATGGTACCAGTTCATGGGGATAAAAGAAGAGCTGACATATTCAGTGGGCTGGCACGAACACTATCAGCTCAGGAAAATAAAAAATTTGGGGGCAAGTGCGGACAATGCAAGTCGACACAGATGCTGCCACGCCAAATGTCAGGACAAGTGATGCCAGTGCAAAGGTTGTAAGGGTAGATCAGTCTGGAGCTGCTGCAGAAAGCACAGTGGGGACAGGCACTGCCACTGTGAGACGCTGCGGGTGCTGCAAGCTGGGCGCTGAGGAGCTGGCTCAAGCCAAGCTCTGCATGGTCTCCAGGGAGCTTAGGAGCTCACTCTCCCTAAGCATATTCCAGCTGAGGAGCCCCCAGGACCTTGCACCCACCACAGAGCCATTCCTGGTGCTGCTTGCGTTCCCATATCTAGACTTATGCAACGACTCGAGGGCAGGAGCAGCCTGCAGAGAACTGGAGCAGCAGGAGACGCAGGCAGCCTGCATCCCCGTGGGGCTTCCTGAAGTGTCCCAAACTAGAAAACCGGCCACCTCCCCACTACTGCTCCTGCAACGTAATTATTCCAGCATGACTGACATGACAAATTAACAAGACAGCCAGGACTTCTGCAGTAGAAAGGAGTGTTTTCCCCAAGAATAAATTGTTCCAATCCTTTACGCTAGACACCCGGCCGTGCCTATTCATTAATTGGACAAGCTCTGGTGACAAATGAAATTACCTGACTTCTACCTACTGGAGGGGAGAGAGATCTTTGCAACCTTAAAATGAAAAGCCTAAAGCCAGAATCCCAGCCATCGTGGAGTTCTTTGGATGGGGCTTTTTTTTTTTTTTAATTCATTTTCGGAGCACAGCCCCGGCAAATCTCCTTTTAAAAGCAGAGGCACGGTCTTTAGAGGATTCTGTCATTCCTCTCTTTGCAGTCCCTGAAATGTGGCATCAGAACATGACAAATCAGCCTGTGAACTGCAACCCTTTTAAGACCCACAGATCAGCAGAGTTTAAGAACTTTAGGAGCCACGAAACGCTGGGATTACTGCAATGTTGGGATTAATTATCACAATCAGAGTACATTAGGAATTATAAGCATCTGCTTAATCAGTACCCTGTGGTTATTTATTGCAACCAATGTATCATAATTACTAAACAGGTACTGGAATAAAGGTGTGTGTGTGTGTGGGGGGGGGGAATTGATGGCTCTTACATTCAGTCATGATCCGCTCACAACATTATTATGCATACATTTTTCAACCACTGTTTTGATTCGGGTTTACCTGTACCTCTTATTCCCCTGCTAAAGGGAAGCCTGGGGACCTGATATGGTATTTCTCCCCTCTGCCCTCCTTTCTGTGCTAGCTGCGTACCTGAAATGCAGACGATGAAATTCGCTTGCAGAAGGAAAAGCACCTCCCAAACAATTTCCATCCTCCGATTCTCATGCCAAGTGCATCCCTCGGCGAAAAAAAATAACAAAGATCAATATCGCAGTTTGAACGATCCCAGCAAATTTCCTTTCGGGCTTGCAGACTGTATTCCCCAGATGTGCTGACAACACATGTCCAAGCTCTCTCTCTGCACGGCTCAAGCGAGATCCCTTCCCTTCCTTCGCCCTCCAAAAAAGACCAAGAAGCCAACCGCCAG